TCAGGATGACTTTAAGACTTGAACATGGTCATTTTTGTTTTGTAGCATTGAATACAAAAAAAAAAAAAAGTATTTAAAAAAAAAAAATCCCGATCGCCGATTTTTTTCTCCCGATTCCAATCTGTTGAAAATCACGTGATCGGCTCCGATCCCCGATCACGTGATCGGATCGGGACATCTCTACTATAATTGAAACATCTCAAAATAGAAATAAAGTAGAAAATATACAGTAGAAGATAAAGAAATCTATGAACTCTGCAGACACAGGGCGCTGCTGCCACCTCGCCAACAGCAAATGATGCTATATGTGTACGACCACATGTTCCCATCTTCCTCTGTGACTCTCTTTTCTCCAGACGAAGCTGAAAACAAAGACCCTTCCTCGCCTTCTCTTCAGCCTCCGAGGGAAGAACCGATCCAGAGAGTTGAACCCAAGAAGGAAGACGCGGCCACCTCGAAGCTCTTCGCTGACGTTGTGAACGTCAGCGAGGGCTTCCAGCTGAGGACGGCCTACAAGAAGAAGGTGAAGCCCTCCAAACTGGACGGTCTTCTGGAGCGTCGGGTCAAACAGTTCACTCTGGAGGAGAAGCAGAGGCTGGAGAGAATGAGACAGGCGGCACTTCTGGCAAAAATAGCCGCCATGAAGCCTGGAGTTAAAACGGAGAGCAAACAGCCGCCGGCCGTCACCCCGTGTGTCAAAAGAGAGCAAGCAGAAGGCGTCGCTGTGAAAGACAACTTGGTGAAGAAGCTCGACTTTGAACAGGAGCAGATCAAACCAGACGTTGATGTCAAATCTGACGCTGAAGCACCCAAACAGATGGAGGTGAATGATGTGCACAAAGAAGTGAACGGAGAAACGCCGTCAACCACCGAGTCTAGCGGGAAAAACAACGGTTTATCAGACGCTATGGAGAAAAAGACGGAAGTGGCTCGAGCGGGAAAACGTGTGTTTGAGGAAATGGAGAAAGCTGGTGAACAGAGCATGGAGGTAGAGGAAAGTAAGACTACTGAAGTGCAGGTTAACGGGAAAACGGAGGGTGGCGTTCCTGCAGAAACCACCTCAGAACCAGCTCAAGGTGACATGAAAGAACCCGTGAAGTCTCTGATGAACGGGAACCTCTTGCAGAAAAGCGACGTGTCCGACGGGAGTCACCAACCTCCTCTGAAAGTCCCGAAACTGGAGAACCACGTGACGGAGAAAGGAGACTCTTTGGCGTTGGATAGTGAGCCTGCTAAGCTAACATCATCAACCCCTGCTCTCGTGAATAATACAAGTACTGAAGGTTTGAAGAGCACCTCAACAGAAGCTCAAAACGCCCCGAAAACAGACTCGTCTCAAACAGGAAGTGGCGTCGTCTCCTCAGTTTCCTCCAGAGCCGTCGTCCCGCAGAAAACCAAACTTCAAGACACCAAGACGTCCACTTCCAGCTCCATGACGATCAGTAAAGAATACTCCACGAAAGACCGGGTCAGCCTCCTGCGGTTCTACAAATCCAGGAAGGCGCGTTCGGGTACCGCGCTGCCGTCCTACAGGAAGTTCGTCACCAAGAGCAGCAAGAAGAGCATCTTTATTCTGCCCAACGACGACCTGAAGAGGATGGCGAGGAGAGCGGGCATCAGAGAGGTTCCCATCTTCAACTACAACGCTAAACCAGCCCTGGATATCTGGCCGTACCCCTCGCCTCGGCCCACTTTTGGGATCACATGGAGGTACGTATTGGGTCACATGATATGGAAGCTTTTGATAAGAAAGGGGAGTTCTCATTGAAGTAACTGCAGATGTTTTCATTATAACGTTCGTATAACATAAGGCTGTGTAAACGTACTTCCTGTAGCTGTCATCAGTATCTAATGTGTCCCTGCGCCCCCTTCAGGTACCGTCTGCAGACCGTGCGCTCTCTGGCCGGCGTCAGTCTGATGCTCCGGCTGCTCTGGAGCTGCCTGCGCTGGGACGACATGTCCGTGAAGCCGTCTGCAGCCGTAGGGACCACACGCAAAGGTGAGGAGACATCACAAACACTCAGAAATGGCAAAAGTACACACATCCTTTACTCAAGTAGAAGTACAGATACTCGTGTTTAACAATACTCTGGTGAAAGTAGAAGTACTGACTAAACTTCTTAAGTAAAAGTAAAGAGGGCTTTGAAATGTATTTCAGTAAAAAGTACCTGACCTCCGTTTATATTAATAGAACAATAACGTCATTACACGCTGGGCTAATGCTAATAATGCTAATGCCAGCAAATAAAATGGCGGGGTGTGGTTCGCAATCCGCCCAGCCAATCAGAAATGGGAACCTTTTTCTCCCATGAAAATACCTGCTCTCTAGCAGGGACTGAAGATGGGGTGAAAAGGTTCCCATGAACTAAGTTCTAGTTCCGGATTTTTTTTTTGTGAACGCACATTTTCGGAACTATACTGGGAAAAGTACTCCGGTGTGAAAGCGCCTAATTTCTGATTAGAATCATTAGGTCCTTTTTTAAAG